CCCCACCCCGACCACCGCACATGAGGCCGAAATCACCAAATTGACCCCAAAACACTCCATAAGCCTAGATCTATCCCCCTAAGCCCCTATTTTAGGCTAAAACCCCAAAAATAACTCAAAAATAACCCCAAAAACCTTTCGACATTTGGGTTTCCTCTCGCTCTGACCACCGTGGTTTGATTCAACCCCTCCTCACAAGGTAAACCCTTACTCTTATCTCTTTTTTTCTTTTAGTTCGAAAGAAAAAAAATAGAACAATAAATAAAGAATAATCTACCTTTAATAGTGCTTGGTATTTCCTCTGGAAAAAAATGAGAAAAAAAAGATCCTCTCTATTACATTTGGTTCGGGATTTATACCCGAAAATTTACATAGGTTTTAGCAAAATATATTCCAGATCCATTGTTGAACTCTATGTGTAATGAGTTTTGGGCTTTAATGCCCCGGATTTTCCAGGGTTTGCTAGTTCCAACTCTGATTTTCTCTATTTTTTATGCTGCTGAGATGATGGTTGTCATAGTGGAGACTGTCAGTACCTTGGATGACAGCAGTCGGTGGCTAGCAAGTCTGGCGACAGTGATAGCTGAAAGGTTTTTAGGGTAAGTTAGGTTTAGGTTAGGGTTATGTAATGGGTCCAGGTTTGGATATGTTTGGGCTTGGGTTTAGGTTTTATTTGGGCTTAGTTTAGGGTTTAGTTTAAGGTTTTGGGGTTTTTATTTTGGGGTTTGAATGTTGGGCCTAGGTTGTATAATAAATCTGAAAAAATGGTGATTACATACGTCATCAAAATATTGAAATTGGAAAATTCGAATAATATTCAAATTATGATATTTTTCTAGAAAAATAAAAAAAAAATATTTTATATGAATAATCCTCGAAAATACCTCCCTAATCAATTAAGGGGATATTTTTATGGATTCCTCATATAAAATAGTATTATCCTAAATTTTAGATACAATAAAAATAAATTATTTAAAACATAAAAATATATTATTTTATTCGAGCAATTTTTAGAAACACACTCCTTATTAGTTAAGGGTGTTTGTTTAAGTTCCTCGTATAAAATAATATACGAAAATATTTATTCTAGTAATAAATTTATAAATATATAAATAAAGGATTAAAATAATAAATTTAATAAATTTAGGGATTAAATTATAAACTTAACAAAAGATCAAGGCAACAATTACAAATAATTCAAATAATAGGCACTTCAAACGTAAATAAACCCATAATACTATTTAAAATTAAAAATATTAAATTTAGGGCTTAAACTGTAAAAAAGTACAAATTCATGGTCATAACAGAAACATCATGAAATCGAGGTACTAGAATTATAATTTAACCCTAATCATTATTCGGGATTAAGATAAAAACTATTAAAATCTAAGGACTAAATATGATATTTACCCAAAACATATATATATATAGGGTTAGTGACTAAAATAAAAACAAAATAAAATCTGAAATCCAAATTTTAATACACAGAAATTAATTTTAGTGACCAAAATGAAAAATTACAAAACCCGAGAAACAGCGGGAATGATTTTCCCATACACTAAATACGCAGAAACCCCATCCCCAAAACGATGTCACATGGAGAGGGTTATTTATACCCCAAACCGACCCAAAACAATGAGCCAACCTCATTTTCTCCTCTTTCACGCTCTCTCTAAAAAGAGAGAAAGAAGTTTCTCTCGCTTCTCTTTAAAATTCATTGTCGGAGGGAGATCGGCCACCAGGCTGGCCACCGTACATCGGTGCCGGCGATCACTGTCGGCCACTGCCCATGGTGGTCGAAATTGAGAAAATAATCCAAAATTCGAGCCCCTTTTTCGTTACACCCAAATCCGAGCCCCTCTCGTCCTAAATACATGTCAACCGGCCTAGATCTAGGTGTTTACCTTCGGAAAAAATCTGACTCTTCGACGTCGTTTGTAGATTCTGATGAACGTGGTAAGCTTTCTTTCCTCTCTCTTTTCCTGTTTATGATTTGTCGTTGTTGTGGTTGTATCAAATTATTGCCCTTTTTTCTCTGTTTTTCTTTTGTTCTCTCCGTATGGATACTAGTGGTGTCTTTTTTTCTTGCAAGTTTTGAGGTTCCTTTTATATGACCCTTCGGCTCTCCCTTTTGACCGGTCGGAATGATGAACCCCAGTGAGTCAACGAGGCTATGGAGGAGACTCACCCAGGGGCGGCTACTAGCTGGGTGCATTAAATGCACCCAGATCGTCTGGATCTGGCCGGTGGTCTTTAACGGCGGCAGCTCACATGTCGGTGGTTGAGAGGAGCATATAGCGACAGCAGCTGGCATGGCCCTAGGGCTATAATGAAACCCTAGGGTTTCTGGAATCTTATCTGGGTCGTTGGATCAAAGCAAGATCCAACATCTAAGAGCAACGGGCTACGCATGGCCAAGGGTGAAAACCCTAACCTGGTTCGGGCCTGCTAGGTTGGATATTGGGCCCAATTTGTTCTTGGGCCAGATTTGTAAATGGGTCAGGTTTACTTGTATTGTGCTTCATTTTATTTATTTATTATTAATAATATATATATATATATGTGTGTGTGGGACGAAAATGATTGTCTACATTTTGGTTACGTCATTTTAAATTATTTTAAAATAATTACAATTCAATATATTATAAATATTCACTAAACCAATTTTGTTAAATATTTTTTTAAATTTCCAGTTGCGCCTTATATTAATATGTCGATGTTTAGAATTCCCCTAAATAAAGCCAATGAAGTGAAGGGTAACAGGCAACTGGTTCTACCCATTGACAAAAACAGGCCTTTTACAAGTCAGAAAGAGTACACCAGTAATTAAGCTGTCAATTATGGTGGAAGGAATTCTTTATACAAGTCACAACAAAAGAGATATGGTGGACGTGGGATCCAAAGATACCCATTGTCGGGTAAATCCACAGACGAAACAAAGTACTAATTAAGGTTCTTTTGAGATGAATATCACTTCTCCAAAAATAAAAACATTATTGAGGTCCTTTCTTATAATATATTTATCTTTCAACGATGTTATTGTGTTTTTATAGCGTTTCGGTTATCAAAATTCTCTCTCTCTCTCTTTATGTTGGAGTTATTCTTATAAGATACAGACATATTATTTTATGTTAGGAGGGGCTAATTTAAATTTATAAAATTTTAAGAGGGGCAAAAGTATATTTTCAATAAAAATATATAAAAAAAACCTGAAATATATAATAATATTAAAATTTTAAGGGAGAACACTCCACCCAGCCTGCCTATTTCCATCCCTGCTTCCGATAACGATATACTTAATCCGATTGATGGTGATTTTGAAGGTGACTTCAATTGTAACCGAAATTCATGTAAACATAAAATAAAAAAATCTTAAAATCAATAAGAACTAGTAGTAATTAAATGATTGAGAATGAAAAGCTCTTATTTTATGTTTATTATCATGATCTTGCTTGATTCTTGGGGTTTGAGTTGGCATTCTCACAGCTATAAAACAAATACTAATTGAAGGACCAAACATTATTCAATAGTGACCATTAAATTTCCACATTTTTTTATGAATTGCGAGCACAAATTGAGATAAACTAACCCCTACCATAAGTCAATGATCCAATTCATTTTCCTCACATGAAAAGATTCCCCTCATAAATTTAAAATTCAGGTTATAATTTATTTTTAATCTTCAAACTCTAAAATTTATTTTAATTCTTAATTTTTAAAATCATTGACTTTTTTTTTTTAAAAATGAACTAGTTAGCAAAAATTAACTTATTATTAATAATTTTTAGTGTGAAGTATACAAATGGTCCCCGACTACAAGACATTGCTTTATTCACGACTATTAACAGTTACAAAATGGTTATCTAATCATAGGATGTTTCATTTTGAGTCCCACGACTATTAATAGTTACAAAATGATTCTCAAATTATAGGACGTTTCTTTTTTGAGTCCCCGACTATTAAAAGTTACAAAATGATCACTTCATTGTGTTCCAAACTCATCCATTTTCGTTAAAAATTGATAGCGGTTTGAGCTGGACGTTAACCTACCGAATGAGATATGATTGTCGTTTGAGATTCTAAGATCATATTATATCATATATCAGCCAGCAGGTTAACGTTCAACTCAAATTGTAATCATTCTTTAACGAAAAAATGACGAGTTTGGAACACAATGAATAGTTGGGTGACCATTTGTAATTTTTAATAGTCAAGAGACTTAAAAAAGTAATGTCTTATTGTTGGGAGACTATTTTCAACTTTTAATTGTCAGATGACTCAATAAAGCAACACCTTATAATTGGAGATCATTTATGTTCTTTACCCTAATTTTTATATATTTTTACAATTTTTCATATTGTATATTTTTTATATTTTTTATAATGTAAATACATTTTTATATTTTTTATAAATTTAAATATTTTGTAGTTAAAGTAAAATTATCAGGGATTAAAAGTTATTTTACCTTAAAAAATGGAAGTGAGATAAAGTATACCCTTTTGGGGCATTAAAAGCACTAATAAAAGCACTTGAAGTTGGGGACTTATTATCATCTCTGTCTTCTTTTAATGTCTTTGTAGTAATTTCCATGAATTTTACTTTTTATACCTGTTATTGATATTTATGAAGGCTTAGAACTGGGCTTGTTATCGTGGACTTCTGTGTAATATTCTCTTCACTTTTAAATTTAGTCGGGTCTTACGTTTCTGTCTATATGCAGAGATTTTTTCGCAGGGATTTATTTGCAGGGATTACTTCTCATTTCAAACGCGCATATAATATTAATGATATTTATGACTGTATATGAATACTGTTCAACTATGTATTTATGTATTTATTTATACATGCTTTGCATTTTATCTATATTTTTAATTTTCTGACTGCCGGATGTCTTCCACGGAAGCTACTCTCAACCTGGCGTTGGGGGCAGCCTACTACCCTACCTCCCCTTACCATATGGGAATTGGGTTTTGTCGTTGTTTGTTTGTTTGTGAAGTTGGGGACTTACCTCTTCGCTTACATTTTGGTTCCAAATTCCAGACCATCTCCATTCTTCTTCTTCCTTCTGTCTTCTGCAACTACCATTGATATGTTCATTTCTTTCCTTAAACTTCTTCATCTACACAAGAAACGACAGCTCCTACCACCAGTGTGGGCTAGCTATTCACTTTAGCTTCTTACAAGACCAAAAAAAAATGTTTCAAATGACTAAATTTCACCATTATTTCCAATCCACCAAAATTTCAGCCTTTGGCTTTGGGTTTCTCCCGTCCACTTCATTTCTAGCTCTTTTCCTCCTTGTCCTCTTAGCTTGCAATGGCTTCTTCGTTTTCACAATCAACCTCCCCGCTCCCGCCAAATCTTCACCGGAGCCCGCCAATTTCTTGCCTGAGCATTTCCCCGGTGACAAAACGGTGAAGAAGCTACAATCATCCTCGGTGTATTATGCAGTCAAAGAAGAAAACCCACCTTCTGTTTCAAAGATCCATTTGTCTCTTTTACCAAAACCAAACGTTTCAATGGCTGCCAGGCTAAAGCAGCCTCGTTGGAGCCATAAACAGAAAGTAAGAGCTTTACATTTAGGTGCTAAAACCAAAGGGTTCTCCTCCAAAATCAAGGGTTTTTTCCAGAATTCAAAGTGTAAGTCTCGGTTCTTCATGACTTGGATTTCTTCATCACATTCATTAGGCGACAGAGAATTGCTTGCCATCGAGAGCGTGTTCAAGTCACACCCCAAAGCTTGCTTAGTCATGGTGTCGAACACTTTGGATTCCAAACTGGGAAACGTCGTTCTAAAGCCATTTTCGGATAAAGGCTTCAAATTGATCGCTGTAACCCCTGATTTTGATTTCATATTAAAAAACACACACGCGGAATCCTGGTTTAATCGGTTGAAGAAAGGAAATGTCGATCCCGGCGATGTTTCTTTAGGCCAAAACCTATCGAATTTGCTCCGACTTGCCTTGCTGTACAAGTATGGCGGTGTTTATATCGACACGGATGTTATAATCTTGAAGAGTTTCAATCATCTGCGAAATGTCATCGGTGCTCAATCCATTAACGCCGAAACGAAGAGCTGGAGTAGATTAAACAATGCTGTGCTCATTTTCGATAAACAACATCCATTGTTGTTCAAGTTAATTCAAGAATTTGCTCTCACTTTTGATGGGAATAAATGGGGTCACAATGGTCCTTACTTGGTTTCCAGGGTGGTTGCCCGAGTCATCGGTAGGCCTGGATTTAACTTCACCGTGATGCCTCCCTCCACCTTCTATCCGGTAGATTGGAGCCGGATTCGAACCCTGTTTCGACGGCCTAATGATCAGATACATTCTGATTGGTTGCATCGAAAACTCGAGGAAATTCAGGGTCAGAGCTACGCCGTTCACCTTTGGAACAGGCATAGTAGGGAAGTTAGAGTTCAAGAAGGAAGCATTGTTCATCATATTCTATCACATTGTTGCATCTTCTGCAACTCTTCAACATCAAGTTTGTAAGTACATGTTACATGATAAGGTTCAAAATTGTCTCATTAGTATGCTCTAATCGATTTCACCATTCTATCAATTAATAAATCTTAATAATAATTCTTTTTAGCGCATATACTCTAAGAGAGACAATGATTATGAAATATACTCCATTTCAATTGATAGTAATTAAATCTCGATCATGATTAAAAATATAAATGTTTTAGTCAAATATTATTGTTAGTTCAGTTATAAATTTAATTTCTATGATTTTTAATTTGATCATCTCTGTCCATACAATTTTTAAATTTAAATATTTACTTAAAAGATACAGAGATACTATAACGAAATTATAAAGACTAAAATTATCAAATTGGATAATAAAAATTAAACTTGCTTATGCATAATATATAGACTAAGGGGTTGTTTATTTACTTCAGAATGATTAAGCGCTGAATGATTCAAATGTTGAATGATTTAGAGGCTCTATATGAATTAGCTCAGAATGTGACATGTTGTTTGATAATAGCTCTGAATCATTCATAATGTACTTTAATGCTGAATCATTTAACACTGTTTTGTTGATTTAGTCAGCACTGAATCATTCAGAAGTGCGAAACAAACGCGCTGAATGTTGAACGGTTCAGCATTCAGCGTTGAATGATTCTATTCATAGCCAAATAAACATCCCCTAATATTAGAAATTAAGTTAACAAATTTAGTAAATACGGTTTAGATAATAAATAAAATTTTAAATATAAAAAATAAAAATAAAGTAAAGTAAAGTAAAACAAATAAATTTGTAATTTGGGTGTAATAGAAAAACAAGCTGTAATTGAGATTTTGGTTGTCTGGTTTTGATCAATTATTGGTTGAAAAAAGGTAGATAATGTAGGAGGTTGTAAACACGTGGCTTGCATCATGGTACTATGTGTTGGTTTCTTTATGGTCTAGCCTCTCAAAATGGCAATATATGATTTAGCCCCTCTAAAATTGTACAAATTTCAAATTAATACAATAATAATATTGCGTGTTGCCTCTCAAATGGTAAATTTATGGTTTAATCCCTTTAAAACTGTAAAATTATACATTCATACAATGGTAATATCACATCTTGACCTTTAAACTTACTTCAACTTTGGTCTCAAAAACGTTTTCTACCTTCAACCCTATTTAATACATATGGATCATGTATTAAAGAGGCATATTATAGATTCCATCAATCTATTTTAAGCTATTTATAATGTTGAGATTAACATGTTTGATTGATCCTCTAAAAATAATTCAAAAATTAATTTAGAACATATATCATAATCTAGGGACGCATAATATAATTTAACTCTCGGAATCAAATATTGTATAAAATAATTTAGGTTTAACTACGTATTTAGTGTATGAATTATCAATTTAGGTCTGTTTTAGTATTTAAATTTTCAAATTTTTAAATCACACCTAATGTTTAGTTTTTGTTTTATTTTTGTACCCTTTCGTTAAAAACTTAATATGTTTAGTACATAAACTATCTTTTTTGGTCCGTATTAGTACCTAAACTTATATTTTTTTTCTTCAAAACTTAACATTAAATTTTGAACGTGGTTATGAAAAATTTAAAAGTTTAGGTACTAAGCCTGTAATTTACCCAATAATTTAATAAGAATCTACCGTCCCCATATATTCTTAACAACAAATATTTCAATGATAATATTTATCTCTTATCATAAATGTAGTTTTTAAGTACTCATTGAAGGATTTTGAGAAGATTGGCACATGCAAATCACGTGATATATGAATTTTCTGCCTTTGAGTTTGTTTAAATGGAAGGAACACTTGTTGATTAATTAATTTGTCGAAAGATATGGATGAATTGCATGATAATAGCAATAATAAGAAGAAACACGGAGAATATTAACAGAGATCATATTATTGAAATTTTTAGAGAAAAATTTAAATAATTACTATTTAAGTTTATGAAATTTAAATTATTATTATATATAATCAAACTTAAACATCTCGTAAATGAATTATTTTGATAAAGAATTTTAAATTTATATCGGTTTATTTAAAGGTCAAAAATCACGTAAAAATCAACATCAAATCAGAATAATATCAATAAAAGATCATGTAAAATAATTTTAGAGTATAACTCTTTATAGTATTGTGTAGATTATCTCTAACCTTTCATCTACAATCTTATATCGATAAATATAAATTTAATTTATAAAATTTATCTTAATCGCTCTATATATACACGTGTATATATTACCATGTATAAAATAACCTCAAAACTCCGTTTTCTTATATAATTTTTAACCTCGGGAATTGATTCTGAGATTTGCATTTAATAAAGCAAAAGCCCTAACCGAGTTTGCCCTCGCCTTGTCTTTTTAGTCGGCATCCTCTTAAAGGCTAAAGCATGTGCCCCCTTTGCCCCCATCGCTTTCACCACGTTCATTCATTTGTACTAATTGTATTGTCAAATAATATAGAGTATCTATATTATTACTTAAATGATAGTATAAATAATTTAGAAAGGCTAAATTATGTTAAATTAAAATAAAAAATTACATACTATATTTTTATAATAAAATAATTTAAATCAATATTATATCTAAACTTATTATAATTTCTCTATATGAATCTATCATTGTAGTTTTAACTTAATTCTTTTTAAAATATCAAATTGGATAATTATTAATGTATTGGGCTTCAAATAAACAAGATAATTGAAAGCCCAATGCATCTCATAATCCAATTATAACAGACTCGAAGCCCAACTTCTCCCATGTTCTTACAACAACCATAACAATAGGCATCTCTGCAAGGCTCGTAAGATGCACTGGACGAAAGGTGGCACTTTCCGCAATGTTCCGGTCAGCGGAGGCCGCAAGAACAAGCGGCTCAAGACATTGAGCAGTGCCGCCAACACTGCCGTGGCAATTCAATAGTAGGTGCAACAACAAAAGTTCAATGCTATAATTGGAACGTTTTAAAGTTAAATAATTAAACCGAACCGATAAAAACACTAAAATTCTAAAATGGAGGCCTGTAACATGTCATACACACAAGTCCATTCTCCATTGTTAAGACAAATGTGGCATAACCAATCACATATGTTCTATATCATCCAAGTAATTATCTACACCAAATCGCACCAAGGTCCATCAACAATGAAATTACTACACCAAGAATACTTCACATACCATACAAGGGGACCGTATTGTCATCTATAGATTTCCCATCCTTATTCCGGTGTCCCTGCCATAGTTAGCCTTATCATCACTAGCTTTCGAGTAGCTAATGTAGTACAACTCCGAGACGATGGCCGTCAGGAAAATGAATGCGGCCCCTGCACCAAATACACCCTTCCTCAATGTCGCACATGTCGGGGGATCGTTCAAGAGATTCCTTAATTTGGTGTGGTACGCGTTCCGGACCGACCCTGCCAGCAAGCATACCTCAGCGATCAAGAAGAACACCCTGAGATATCAACCGAACACGTCGGTTAAGCGATCGGCAAACTAGCACAGGGCACTAAATGCACCCATCATTTAGGAATGCCGCGAGTGGGACTCGTCCAAATATTCGTATAATTTAAATATTTTCTATCGAAATTCTGTTTTTGTCGCTTAAATTTCTATAACTTCACCCCTAAAATCTAAAAGTTTAAACCTTGACATAAAATCCTTTATTAGTTTCCCTGCACTACTTGAAAACATACCAGCAAGTGATGAACAGGACAATTGCCCATGCTCTAGAGCCGCTCGGATTCATGGCCTTCCCGCAGCATAAGCATCGGCTCGCGACCATAATTATCGTCTGACTAAGCACAAGAAATAGGAGAGAACCGACGCCTAAGCCGGTCGCAATGTCCCTGTCGTATACACAATAGCTTTCCCTCCCATTACTGCCAATACTGGCCTGCAAACAGGGAACTTTTCACTTACAAGAAGCATAAAAAGCCTAAACTTTACAACATGAAATCGAAAACCCACTAAGAAAATGTCATAAACAAAATAAACACAACTTCTGGGAATCAGAAAACTTCAACAGAAAAGAGTACTCCAAAAAGGGTAGTTTTTGTATGTATGAAAGTGAAAGAAAAAAACTCACGGTACTCCTCCTTTGCTCAGCAGCAACAGCAAGTCCAAAAGCAATCACATCAATCCCAAAAACCAGAGCCAGTAACAACGTTGAAGCCATAGCTAAAAAAAACAACAAGAAAAAGAAAAACCCAGAAATCAGAAACAAAAATCTCAAAAAATCATGACCAAAAGCAGAGAAAGCGTGAAAAAAAAGCATGAACAACAGTACCTTGAAACGCTTGTTATTTGGAAGGTTGCGTGATTTTACTTGTCGAGAAAGTAGCAATATTATAATACTGATTACGTATCTTAGGAGGCAATTTTCCCAATAAATTCGATATATTTATCGATCTAATATCGGTCAGATTATATTTTTTGATCTAACATCTGTAATAGTAAAACGCGTCTCTGAATCGCGCTATACGCTGATTTTGTGTCACGTGGGTATAATGCGCCCTCTGCCCTGCGATATACGGTGATCTGACGCCACGTGGGTATAGCACGCCCCCTAATCCGCGCTATACCTGAGTATCAGACACGTGGGGTATAGCGCGATGCAGGGGATGCTATACCCCTAAATACCCAACCCTTCACGTCCCCATCCTCTCTATAAATACCTCCATCCTCAATCACTTTTATCACACTAAATTCTCTCAAATTCTCTAAATTTCTCTCAAATACTCTATCTTTTTAAGATATATTTTATAATATTTTTACTATTATATATTTACTTTATTTAATATTTTACTAATATAATTCTTTTGCAGATATATAATGGAAGGCAGTCTACTTCATTCGGATGGAAATCATATATCTCTACACTTTGCTGATACGGCAACATTTTAACGTTTTAATTTAATTTAAATTATTAGTAATATTTAGTTGATTTATTTAATGCATGATTATTAGATTAAGAATTAAATATCTCGACACTTTGCTGATACGGTAACATTTTAACGTTTTAATTTAATTTAAATTATTAGTAGTAATTAGTTGATTTATTTAATGTATGATTATTAGATTAAGAATTAATTTTTGTAATTATTTATTTTTAGGAGAAGGACCGTGTATTAGATCCTTTTATTAGGAATCTTAAGTTAGTGATACCCAGCTGTGTCTTGCCGTATTTAGTAGATGTTGGATTCGGTTACATAGGTAGATATCAGGGTCACTGTAAGATAGAGCCAGACCTGATTTCTGCCTTAGTAGAGCGGTGGAGGCCGGAGACTCACACATTCCATCTTCCGTGCGGAGAGTGCACGATCACGCTTGAGGATATTTCTATGCACTTGGGGCTTCCGGTAGATGGAGATGTGATATCGGGGATAACTTCCGGTTCTTGGACTACTTTGTGTCGGGATAGTCTAGGACGTGTCACGGAAAATTTTATCGGAGGTAGGATACCGTTAAATTGGTTAGATGCTAATTTTCGGGAGTTGAGCACAGATGCCTCTGAGGATGAGGTTAAGATGTATGCACGGGCATGCATACTGCAGCTGATAGGAGGGTTGCTGATGCCGGACAAATCGCGCAACCTAGTTCATTGCATGTGGTTGCGACATCTTAGCGACTTTCGTCTTGCCGGATCATTCAGTTGGGGCTCGGCAGTTTTGGCTTTGCTGTACAGGGAGATGTGTGGAGCCACTGATTACAGACGTAATGCTATCGGCGGATGTCTCCTGCTGCTGCAGTCTTGGGCATGGTATCGATTGCCCTTTTTATGTCCCGTTGTGAAGAACTCATTCATATTTCCACTACTTCTGAGGTAATTATAAAACTGATTTTGTATATTAATAATTTTATACAGCGTATAATAAAATTTTTTCCTTGAATAGGTGGTCTACTGATAGGAAAAATCATCAGGAGCCACCTGATGATTTAGAAAAAATTAGGGTGCTAATCGATCAGATGGCTGGCACATAGGTATGAATTTTAATGTTTAAAAATCGATTTTAGATTATAGTTATATATCTAGATTATTATTTTGATAAAAATTATATATTATTTGTTTTAGTTTGAATGGATGTCATATTCTACTAATGATGTGAGGGCGGTGATCCCACATGAGTTGAGGGGTCCATAAGATGTTTGGATGGCAATGGTCCCTCTGATCTGTTATGCGACCGTCGAGTGGCACTCCACTGATCGCGTGCTCCGGCAGTTTGGTTGTTTTCAACCAATTCCGGAAGCACCTCGCAATATGGACGAGTTGCATAGCTTAGATAGACGCGGCAAGACAAATACAGAATGGCTGGTGAGGCATCATGAGTGGGTCGTGTTGTGGAAGGATCGACATCGGCGCCTTCCACGTAGAGAGCCCATTTTTACTGACTTCTTGATGTATGCTAAGGATTATTATGAGTGGTTCAACAGTAACGGGAAACCGTTTCTACTTCCCGATGATGCACAAGGGCAGACCTTTCCACGACGTCGACAGAGACGTTCACCGACACAGCACCATCATCCCCCGACTCTAAACGGAGAGTAGGTGCTTCCGGTTCATCCTCAGCTGCACCAGCAGGACCTTCCCAGCAGCCACCGCAGCCATATATGATGCCACAACCATATATGATGCCGCCATCGCCTTTCCATTACCAGATGCTGCCATCACCGCCTTCACCTGGTTTTATGACCCCGCCACCACCACCGTCACAGATGACCCCTCCTGGAGGCTATTATGGGTTTATGTTTACAGATTCGACTTGGGGTTCATATACTGGATATTTGGCGGGTTCAGCCTCATCACCCATGGCCGCAGCACAGACACCTCTTGTATAGTTTTCACACTCAGCGATGTCTAGGTTTTCCCAGTTTTCGCAAGCCGGTGTGATAGTCAGTCATACACCTCCAGGGTCCTTACTCTATGGAGGTGCTTCATCGTCATCAGCTCTTCATCAACCTAATGTACCTGCTCAGGATGACGACGACGACGATGACGACGGCAACGACGATGATGATGACAGCAAGGATTCAGAACCAGTGATACGAAGAAATCCTCCTCGAGACCGACAACCACCGCCTTGCAGAACACATTCGCGACGCATGCATCGATAGATTTTTTTTATTATATTTTTATTTACTTTATTTTGTTTAATTGTAATTTTTTATTATTTCTCATTTAATACTTACTTTATTTTGTTAAATTTGTTGGATATTTTTAATATATTTCAGTTAATTTTGTTTATTACCATTTAATATCAGTTGTTGTAATTTGGTTATCATTTATCATTTAATTCTTATTGTAAGTTTGTTGTATTTAAATACCAAATTGTTATTAGTTTGATAAAATTTAATGATTGTGTTCGTTTTTTTAATCTTCATCAGCGATTATCGAATGACATTAACTTGAAGTAAATGCAAATTAAAATACAAGAATTATTATTTGATAAACAAATACATCATTTCCTCATCAATTGTTACTTGATGACAACAGAAGTGGACATGTTTTTCTAGTGTGTCCTGGGTTTCTACAATGGCCACATCTTCTGTCTTATCTAGATCTTTCTCGAATATCCATGTCGCAATGAATTCGATTGGATTTTGGACGACCACGCACCCTCAATAAATTCAGATTTGGTACAATCGGAAGCCAATATTGAACCTCATCAGGGTCTTTGTCATTACCTATGGGGGGAAACTCAAATTCGTATACCTTAAAAACTTCAGATAGTAGGTATACGAGATCCACAAAATGGTTATAGTCTTGACGTGTATGCGAGCAAGCTGCTATCACATGAGAGCATGGATACTTCAGAGCTTAAAAAAACCCGCAGTCGCACGTTCTGTCCCTTAGATTTACTCTTAACGACACAACTTCAATCCCTTGAAGAGGTCGCGACAACTCTGTGACACGAAACATTTCATGCCTTCTAGAGAAGCTTGTTACAGACATTCCATTTGATGCATCAATTTTTTTCTGTAGATCTGCAACTAATCTAGGGTGATAGACATGACCGCCTTGCATCCAGGTTTGAGCTTGTCCCCCGAGCTTCTCAAAAAGCACCCCCAAACAAAAATATATAGTTTTTACCAAAGCCGCTACAGGTAAGTGACGTGCACCCTTTAAGGTTGAATTGATTGCCTCAGCCAAGTTGGTCATCATGTGTCCATATCGATATCCACCATCATATGCGTTCGTCCACATTTCTTTATCGATGAGGCTGATGTAATAGTATCCTTCCTCGTTCTTCGCCCGCAAATCTTGAAGCATTGATTCAAACGTTCGAGGAAGTAGTTCGTAACCTGATCAAAAAAAGTATAACTTACTAACTTGCTTTCTTTGCAAAATTAAAATGATCAAAAAAATGTATAACTTACTAACTTTCTTTCACTTACCCATGTGCACAATTAATTGACGCTCATCATTCTTCTTGTACATTCCATGATAGTTCGCAGCAATGTGTCGGAGATAATACCTATGTTGGACAAAGGGTGGTTGACACATTGCACCCAAAGACTCCATTGCTGCTTTGATCCCAGCTCCGCGATCTGAAATGACACATATTTTTTCCCTCATGATAACATGTGCACGTAAATTTCAGAGGAAAAAAGCCCAAGAATCTGTATCTTCTCCTTCGACAAGAGCAAAAGCAACTGGAAGAATGTTGCGATTTCTATCTTGGAAAACTGCCAATAATAAAACTTGCTTGTATTTTCCATACAAGAAAGTCCCGTCGATCTGGACCACAGGCTTGCAGTATTTGGCAGCATTAACGCACTATGGGTAACTCAAAAAAACTCGGTAGAATTGGCATATATCGCGAAGAACTCGATCATTATAGTATGCATAGGAGGTTTCGAAGTCCACAATTGTTCCAGGATTCAACGTCCGCACCAGCCTAAACCAACCAGGAAGTTCGTTGTAAGATGCATCCCATTCGCCATGAAGTTTGACAATGGCATTTTGTTTTGCCAACCAAGCTTTTTTATAGGAGACGGTGTACCCATACTGCGATTGTATAGCTGAAATCAACACTGCAACAACTATATGAGAGCTTGCTTTTACCATGAGCATGATGGCTTGACATATCACTTCAGAGTCCAAGTTGGGATGATCTTGGTTGACCCCTCCAGCACAACATGTGTGAAGACCATTGTATATTGTTAGTTCCCATATGTTGTTTTTCCTCTTCATTTTCGATACACGAACCATCCAATTGCATCCGTTTTCGCGTTGGGCACAATAGCATACATATTT